TTTAGAGTTTAGAATTTAGAGTTTAGAGCTTAAAGATTAAAATTTGGAGTACTTGAAGTTTAGAATTTAAAGTACTTAGAGTTTAGCGTTTAGAATCTAGTAATTTACAATTAGAGTTTAAGATTTTAACCCATTATATGTACATTATGGACAAAACACATAGCACAATTCTTTGCAATATTGTGACTCACTATCGCGAGTTTGTTTCGTTACTGCGCATTTTGGCTTCGCTACGAGTGTAATAACTCATTATTCTGTACAAATGGGTCGAGGCGTTCAGGCAGATTTTCTGTTTCGATGCCTGCTTACGTGTTCTTTCGTGTTATATGTGCATTGCGTTCGATGATGTGACGTACGTCAGACGCATCCATAATGATACAATGGACAGCAATGCATTTGTTTTTCTAAGAACGATTTTAAACAGTCTAGACACAGTGCAGTCTGAGTGAGCTGTCACACGCCACATACGTGTGGTATATTGTGCAATATTGTGATTCTGATATTCAAAGTATACTTAAGAAGGCTAACATTGTCCGGATTTCAGACGGTGTTTCAATGCTTTTTATTCTAGATTTGTGGTTGCCCTAGATATCCTAGATATCCCCTAATTTAAATGTCAAAACATCAAAAATGTCAAGAGACCTTTGGAGATTTGTTCGTTTTTGCTCAATCGCGAAAAAAAAAACAAGTACTTCATCTTTTATAATTGATACTCTGATTCTCGCCATAAATAACAAGATGTTATACAGTGTATTATATTATATAATTGTAAGTGTATGTTAAAATCTAATATATTAATTACCATTATATATTAAAATCTAATTACTATTAATTATATCATATAATATATTAGATATTAATTTATTATATTACGTACGTACGCAAGTGTGATCGATTAAACTTGCCAATTCTCGTTCGAATCTTTCAATTTCTCTGAAAACACATAGATGATGAAAAATTCTAAATAGTTGGCCGATTCAATGGCCAAAGGCTGTAGAATAGAATCACCCATTAATATCAAAATTTTCGGTACACCCGGTATTAATGAAATACATCTTTAGATTCTAAGTGATCGAAAAACACATTTTCAGAGGAACAGGAAAGAAAAATCTAGTTCAAACACCCAGACAAATTTACCCCTTGACAAATAACCTAGTTACCTCGTGTTATATTACACCCTCTGTGTATACAATCCTCCGGTTCGATTAGAACTTTCTAAATAACTGTCAGAACACTTAATCCGCCATGGGAACGTTCAGATTAGTGAACCACATTGTTCGAATATCGTTTAGAAAAAAAAATAACTCCGGACCTTCTGTTTGAGTTTTCTTACGAAGCAGAAGCTGAAGACGAGGCGGAAGAACACGGCTTCCACGCGTGCATTTTACCACCACCGATGTTTGTTTTACACGCAAGAAAAACAAAAGTACAATCCCCGGTTACGAGGCTGAGGCCTGGCCAAGCCGTGTGCATTGAAAATAGTGACGTCCATTAACTGTCGAATCTCTTGGGCGGCGAGGGCGTCGCTATTTGCTCGCTCGATTCGTCATAAGTTGCTTGAAATACAAACTTCGAACGAGACATTCGAAGCCTGAGAGAGAGAAAATTATTGGAAAATGAAATTTTCCCAGTTGAACTTCCGTTTGAATATTCAGACACTTAGTAACATGGGAAAAGAGAAATTTTGGACATTTTTTTTTTTTTGGAACTGAATTATAATAATTTTAATACCACGAAGAACTTTTACTTAATATGAGATATTCTTGAAATTAGGCCGAAAAAAGATATCGTTCTATGAAGCTTTGTATTTTTTATTTCGTTTTCAGTGTCATCTCAAAATACAATGTATATGTTATTTATTCGAATGTTCTTGTAATTCTTTAAATTTGTCTAATTGTAAGTATTCTCTCCTTGCATTTATTTTTTCGTGTGTTCAAATTGATCTACGTGTTTTATTCTGAAATAATTTGCAAGATTCGATTTGATTGCAAGGTCATATTCTGCAGCTTCATCCGGAAAAATTGCTACTTCAAGTACTCCTTCAGATTGTCCCATGATTACTCCATTAGTAACGAGAAACGATGTATTGTTGTGTGTGATGTTATTATAACGTCAAGTTATACAGAAACCTTTCCAAGCATCAAAATTAATTAAACAGTGTAAAATCAAATTTCTAACGTACAAATATAAATTCTGTGTACGTAATTTTACGTAACGTGATAATAAGGTGTTAATTGCATATTAAATTAAACGCAAATAAATAAAACGTAATTTCTTTTCCAGTGAAAAAAGAAACATAAGGAACACTGTTTTAGTGTCTATAGAGTATTTGTTTTTTTTTTTAATATTTGGACACGTCCATGTAAACTTTCGTTACCGATTGCAATTGAAACCGTAATAATAATAAGAAGCATAATGACGGAAACTAGGAAAGAGTAAACAGAAACTAAAAGATAGAAATCAAAATATGGTAGAAATTAAAATACAAAAAAAAAAAACAGATTAAGTTTGATTAAATATTAATTTATAATATTATAATATTACTTTATTATATATAATAATCCATTATCTTGCCAGCCCTATTTATAAATAGCGATACAACGAGAGTAAATTTATTTTACAAAGTGTGCTTTTATCGCAATGCTTGATAAAATTTTTATCAAACTTTCGTAAGAAAAAAATAGATTGAATAGTTGAGAATCTCTGACTTTGATGTAGCATGTGCACACTGATAACAATATTTTTGTGGTTTGTAATGTTACTAGTAAAAGTCAGCTTAAGTTGATTAATTAATTCACGTGGTTGAAAAGCGACACAAGTACTTATTCAGATAAACTACCTGTATGAGATAAGAAAAAGATAAACCTTTTAATTTACAGAACGATCAATACAAACGCACCGTGAACTTCATTTATTATATACTTCAAAACTAAGTTACTTGCTCCTGGTACAAATACATTGTACAAATTCCACGTTAAAAAGAACACGAATCATACTTGTAAAATATCAATAAATCATTGAAAAGAACTTGAGTCAATCGCATAAACGTGTATTAAATAGAAATCGGTCAAGAAACAAACTCACAATCAGATTAATTTTAATGATTTCACTTCACAGAAACAGGATATTTGTATATTTAACCGATGATTTATTTCGTATTCAGTGAATTCTAGATTTATTTCGATGTCAGATCTTCTAACTCTGCAGAAGTCGAAGGAGCTGTCTTAGTAGAGTCGACTAATTTATCCTATAGCTTATACGTACACAACTGGAAACGTAATTTGCTAATTTACCATTCAAACCAGTTACTAATCAAACATCGCTTATAACTTCATCATCAAGATATGGGATGCTCGAAAGATCTCAGCCTCGATGCTTGCGCGATGTTCGAAAACAAGCGCGCAATTCATTCCTGAAATACTTTCAAGACAAAATGATGGCTAGTTGTATGTCTGTTGTAGATGTTCGTCGTTGAATCACAATATTTCACAATTCCACAAGTGTGAAGTCGCTGCTTGCTCTTCAGCGGAATAGAAAGAGACAAATAATACATGTAGGATAACAAATTAGGGAAGAGATGTAGGAATGGGTGACGGTATTAATCATTTTTACTTTCACAACACGTTTTCACTCTCTCTCTCTCTCTCTCTCTCTCTCTCGAGCTTCTCTCACGATTCACTCGTTTTTCATTTACTCCACGACACGATTCCACTCCATTCACATTTTTACACCTTTGCATACTTTATTAAATTTCGATTAGACGGTAGTTGAATATTATTTTTTAAATATAACCAAATGATTCAATCGTTGTACATTCATGCATGTTTAGAAGAAAAGACGTTCTGTCATCTGACATCTAACACTGTGGTCTAATTCCCATTTCTCAGTCACAATTCTACGGTACTCTGTATATTCTGAAAACGCACAAAACATAAGAACGCTAAAAAAAAGAACAAAAATAGCCACGAATTTTGAGTTTCTACACTCTCGCGATACCAATCGAAATAAACTGAATATACGTTACATGACGTGTTAATCTAATCTCGATAACAATGCCTATGATCAACGAACGCGGATTCATTGCCGTGTCAATTAAGAAGATCTCACTCACCGGAATCTGATTCAGATTGATGTCTGATCGGTCCCTGCTCGGACAGTCGGTGGACGTCGTCGAGGTTTTAAATCGCCTGCTGAATCGCAACAGGTTCCTCATGATCATGGTGTTCATCACGATGATAAGCACCAGCGGCGCGATCAAGCTGGCGATGCTGTCGATTATGCTGATGATCTTCATTGTCTCCAAGTATTCCACCTTCAGGTCGCAATACTCCTCCCCGTCTCTGATGGTTACGCCAGCCGTGACAAAGGAGTACGAGTGACTGGCCAGAGCGAGGATCACCAGCACCAGCACGATGGTCTTCGCCCTGGCTATGGTGCATATGTGAGGTCTGTGCAGGGGATACTGAACGGCGATGAACCTCTCCACCGTGAACGCGACGATCAACCAGACGCTCAATGAGCTGCAAACAGCGCTCACGTAGACCAAGGTCTCGCACCAGCCGTCTTTGTTGAACACCTTCCAACCGATGGTGTTGTTCAGCCAGACTAGCAGCAGAGTGATCAAGAAGCCAAAGTCGGCGGTGGCCAACGCCGCCAGATAGTAACTGGAGCTTCGTATCCTGAGGTGTGTGTTTAGGAACACCACGCAGGACAACAGGTTGCCCACCAGCCCTAGCAGGATGATCGACGGAATGTAATACTGATGGAAGAAATCCAGCAGGAAGTACAACGAGTGGCAAGCTTCCAGTGGCTTTTCCTCGAAGTCCAGGTCGAAGCTTCTGTTTCTGTAACTCGTCAGATTGACCGACACGGTCGGCGAGACCGAGCGTCTATCGCGCGATGACGCGTCCATGCTCGAGGAGGATTCCTCCGTGCATCTCGCGTGTGTGCTGTACATCGACGTGATGGAGAACATGTTTCCTCTTTTCCTTCTTCTTCTTCTTCTTCTTTTTCTTCTTTTACTTTTTTGGATAGATCACACTTTCAGATTCGCTTCTGAACGTGTCTCTTTATATAAAACAGTCGTCGATCAATGATCGATTAGCGATTCCCAATAGTGATTCCCATTCGATGCTCTCGAAAACTTGCTCGTGCTATTAGGAGTACAGAGATTGCGCAACGCAGTGAATTCTCTGATGTTGTATCGTGCTGACTTCCAAATCAATTGCCAAAGTCAAGATCCACGGTGGGAATTAATGGCGATTTACGAAATTACGAACGTTTCCGTAATAGCTGTCTCCAGAGCTGTTCAAGCTGTTCCGAACGTTAAATTGATTCGCTCCTGAATCTGGGAGCTCGGCTAACGCGAAATCTGACGTTAATTCGCGATAAATAGGATGTAATCTGATGTAATTTGATGTTCGTCCTTGTCTCGGCCTGTTCGCTTTTCATTTAAGAGCTTCGACCGTGGATGAACGATGATAATGTTTAATTAACACGTTCTTTGCACATCGAGTCCGACCATCTCATGTTTTGGAGAAATTCGTTAGGCTCTTTTAACTTGTGTAAAATTATTATTTTGTAGGTTGTTTGTTATTTTCTAAGTATCCTTGTGCTTCTTTACGCGAGTATATCTAGATAATTTCGCGTGGATAATATTGTAAAGTGAATTTAGAATGGAAAATTTATAGTCTGCAGATATTCTTCGCTTGACAATAAGTAGCTTAGTTATCACAACTTTCTGTAATAATAATAATAATAATAATAAAACTTGGTGTTGAACTTGCAGTTTCGTAGGCTGAAGATTCTTCACTTGATAATGAATAACTTGATTTCATAAGTTACTTGTTATAGAATAAGCCACGGATAATAATAATGAGATAAATGATGAAATATTTATAGCCTGAAGATATTACGGTTTACTTAATAACGAATAATTTTAGTTTCGCAAATTATTTATTACTTTATAACTATTCTTGCATATTTTTAGTAATGATCTAGTAATTATCTAGTAATGATCACAATTTCGTGCAATAATGAGAAGCTGTTGAATGAAAATTTATAGCCTGAAGATAGTTCACTTAATAATTAATTGAGTTTCATCAAATTATTTCTACGTTGCTCCTTTGTATGCGAATATTATCGTAATTTTCTGCAACGATAAAGTGAAATTGAACGACAGAAAATAGATATACCTCACCTAATTAACTAATTTAATTTTACAAGCTATTTATTTATTCCGTAAGTATTCTTGCACGTTTCATCATTGATCTTCTGTGATAATTAGATGAAGTTGAACAACGAAGAATTCGTACTCTGAAGATACTAATAAATAACTCGATTTTATAAATTGTTTGTTATTTCATATGTATTCTTTCATTACGAGTGTATTATCACGATTCTCCGCGATAACAAGGAGAATTCGAACGATAAAAAAAAATTTATAGCCTGAAAATACTTGACGTAATAATTAATAACTTTGGTTTCGTAAATTATTTGTTATTCACGTAAGTATTCTTGTACGTTCTTACGTAATAAGTAATATTACAGTTTCGTGTGATAATAAGTCTGGGATCGACAATTGGGAAAATTTATAGTCTGGAGATTTCTCTTCAAGCTTATTCAAGAATTTTAAAGTTGACATACAATTTACTCGCTGACGTTTCAATTCATGTATCGTTCCCCAAAATATTTCACTTACTGTTCCTGAATATCGTGACTGTTCCTCCAGTTCCACGGATTGATGCTTCAATGTTTCATTAATTGAGTAATTTAGTTGATAAACGATCCTCAACACACAGTCACGTTAGGGGCGTTTCGAAGTCCAAAATCCCCTTCTCGAATTGTGCGTGGAAAATTGACGAGAGAAATGTTGTCTTTATATTCTGGAATGTGTGTGCATGTGCGTGTCGGTGTTCGACAATGGGCACGAAATATCCTGGACTAGAATAGAAGGGAGATCAACTGGCTTTAAAGTTGTGTTCCTCGAGGTCTGCGGCGTTTCAAATTCTCTAAAATCTCTCGGCGGGCAACGAATATTCCGAAATAGCGAAAATAGCCTGTTCGAAGATGCTCCAAAATATCGTGCGCTCCCCGTTATATCGCACAGACTGTTTCAAACGATCCACGAAATGATCCAACGTGATAGATAATTGCCATGAAATAGAGCCACATCTGTATCGTTCCTCCTACTCGCCGTTTGAATTGTTTCGATCTGTTTACGAGTCGGTGAACTCCGAGCAGTCAGAACTCCGAATAATTCATCGGTTGGAATTTTAACGAATTTTAAGCCTCACTTATCGTTTTGGATAATCCCTTATTTCGTCTTTTCTTTTTTTATTTATTTATTTTTTTTTCCTTTAAATTTAATTACTTCGATCGATAAATTCCAAATACGAGTAACTTCCCATTTGGAATTTTAACGACCTTTAGTTATCGTTTGGATACTTCCAATCCTGTTTTAATTGCTCCAATCTGTCCGATTCAACGATCTGAGAACGTTCGGAATATCCCTGTCACTTGTAATTCTAACGAGTCCGAATTATTCATTACTTAATTGTTTAAATTTAATTGTTCCGATCTGTCTGTCAACTCCAAGCACTTCAAATTATCCGCGCGTAAAGCATTATGATCGAAACACCCGTGTCACGTGGAATTCTAAATAATTTAGAAGCGAATTTTAATCTTTTTAATTCGATCTGTCTGCGAATCGATGGACTTCAAAATAAATATCCAATCAACCGGTACGTTGGAAAGCACACGAACGATCGAATTTGATCACGTCGGATGCCTTCCGAAAATAATTTGTTTTTTTTAACTTCATCGACTTTAATCGGTTTTCGTCGTCCACGAATCGATAAACTTCGAATAACGAATGAGAATACGAACAACCAGAACGATCAGTATACTTCAATCGCTCGTTTCGGAAAGTTTCTAGCAAAACCGGATGGTCGTTTAAATCCTGATTTAATCATTGGATTCGGGATCGTGAGAAATAGTCGCGATAGTTCGCGTTTTCCGTCGTCAGGGAAAGAGAAACGCAATCGCGGCTTAGTTCGATACGCAAATAGTTCGAAATGGAATGCAGATGGACGATAGACTTCCTCTTTGCCGCGACCTTGACGCAGGCCCGAAAATAAGGCTTCGATCGTTCTATATGGTTATATAGCGGAAGACGATCGAAGTATCGATCGGGTAAGTTTGCCTGGAAACTATCTTCGTATCTCAAAGAATCAACGACAACGACAACTGTTTGTTCGATTTCTTCGTTCAACCCGTTTCAACAATTTTCCCCCCCGTTTCTTCGTAATTTCACTCAAAGTCCCTTTCATCAACTTTTTAATCCAAGTTCCAAAGATTTATTACGAGCTTCGAATTTCACTTTTTCTTTTCCTTTCTTTTTTTTTTTTTTTTCAACGAGCGAAGGTTTTTTTACACAATCGGCACTTCGATTATATATCTGTTATCGATAGATTTTTCTTCATCGCAGAACCGAGGAGCGTCGGAGTTTCACCGGATCAATTTTCATATTCGCAGAACCGGCTGATTACACAATTTGAGATTTTTAGTCGTGCAATTCTGACACGCGAGATATTATTTTTCACAGTACGATATTTTACGTACGGAATATATATATATATATCTCTCTCTTTTTCTTCTTCGTAGAAGTGACTTTGATAGTCGAGATTTCTCTCGCTACTGCGCGAGAAGTTGCTCGATCTTTTCATTAAACGTTCCACGCGCTGTCACGTTGTAACGAGCGCGCATTTTTAATATCGAGCATAGCCGCGGATCTTCTTCTCGTTCAGCTAATTCTGTTCGCACGAATTCCAGCAACGAAGTTTCAGCAACAGATTACGCAATAACAAGCGTATCTAGAAAGTGATCTCGCTTTATTTCTGTATGCATCGGGGATCCAACGCGTCGTTCGAGCCATTGAGACCGTGATCGCGTCTGATCCTCGATCCTTTCATTTTGTCCGCGACGTTGCGTCGAATTTTGGGAAATCGGGCCGCACGTGAGTCCAGAGCTGACCTTGACAGTGTGTAACGTGCGGTCGTTCTATAAATTTTACAACCGGCGAGATAGGATCGAGATTACGAACGATAGAGGAATCGAGGTTCAACTGGATCTCTCGCAAGCCACCATCAATCTCGCTTCTTGATCTTGATCGCGATTATTCATCCTCGCCTACCACATTGCCTCTTGCCATTCTTATCGGTGATCCTCGTGTTTGTACTATCCTTTTTATTAGTAACTTTAACAAGCTTACAAGTTTCTATAACTTAATATTAAATCATTTAAATCTACCATCGATGAAAGTTTTTAGAGACACAGAGAAAGTCGTTGATCGACAGTTGAATGAAATATAGATGTTCGAAGAAGCGCAAGAATCGTGCACGATGATCTCTCGTACGCTTCTGATGTCACACTCGAGATATTTCTTTGGAGAAAAGTGACGCGAGCTGGGGCACGAGAATGATCGGGCGCGATAGTTCCCGAAGCAGAACGTTTGACCGGGAGTGAAGTCGGAGCGCCGCGCGACGAGAAACGACGTCGGGTAAACTGGAAACGCGATCCACAGATCCGAGCGAGTTTGCCGCCCATCGAGTTCCCTTCGCATGCGCTTTGCAAGCTCCCTCGGCGTCGCGTCGTTCATCGACGCCTGGCGTCCACCGAACGACACGTCCACGATATATGCACTCACTCATTCACGCGATTCACGCGATTCACGCGTCCTTGCCTTCGCCCTGCCGCGCGATATACGTTTCATTTCATGGTTTCATCAGTTGCCTGAAATGACGTTTCGTATCGTTTCGGTTCATTAGTCATTCACAGGCCCAAAATCATTTCGTGAATTCTTCTTTTTTTTTCCAACTTTATGCCAATTTTATTAAATGAGATCGTATTTGAATACCCTACTGGTTGCTGTGAAATCAGATTTAAACACCCTGCCAGTGGGGATGAGAGCATGAT